GGAACCATTTAGAGCTACAGTATTATTCTTCGAAGCAAAAATGAAAATTCTGGAAAAAGTAAGTTCGTTATACTGATTTTTTTGCGCTTTTTTGATTCGTTTTAATGGGAGTTTTTCAGCATGCAGTCTACCTGACTTCAGCTGGGACCGTAAAAAAAATTCGTTATACTGAAAATTTATTTATAGCGGTATTCGTTACAAGGAGATTTTACCTGTATTTCTGGCCGAGGGTGCCTCCGCTAACCGCCACCTGCAGACTATTTCAGTCTGAGGGTCGAATGCAAATGAAAGATTGTGAAACTCAAACAGAAATCAGGCATCTCCCAAAACTTGACCGATATTCCCGGCGTCTATCAAGAGAACGATCCTCGGATTCGTTTTTTAAGACCGCAGCAAAAAGGAATTAGGTAAATATGGTGTCTCTAAACGGATGATTCTCCACGAGATCCGGGATATCTGGGTACGCGATGCTAAAAAAAGAAGAGGAAATACGGGACGCATCCTGTCTTACGTAAAGGAAGCGGATGTCATGGGAAAACTGACCAGGTGGTACATCCCTATTTATATCGGAACGGAGACGAACCGTCGATTCATCCTGAGACCTCCTCCATGTGCAAGAGCGGATTAATGATGTGGTTCGTCGCATTCCCCGTCTTGGCCTTGGCCTGTATGGCCTCCGGCTTCAACCTGCGAGAGGCCAGCGTCACGGATTGCGGTCAGTTTTCCCGATCGACATTTGCTATTAACATTTGACTCGAGACGACAGCGAATTCCATGGACTTCCCCAGGAGGAGCGGACGCGACGATCCTGTTCGTTCAAGGGACTCTGAGCCCCGACCCGATCCAGTACCCGGGGACCGTGAACTTGGGCGTGGAATTCGAGGTCTACGAGAATCTTCCCGAGGGTCTCCAGATCGAACTCCAGCTCACGAAACTCGACCCCGACATGGAAGTTCCCTGTCTTGGAGGCCTTGGATCTTGGCAAGTATTCTTTTTAACAGTGCAGACTATCACGAATTCTTCATTCAATTCAGAGAGAGGGAATGCAATCTTGCTTGCTGCACGGAACACCTTCATGCGTTTCGATGGGACATTCCGAACACGTTCTTCCTTACAGAGAATTGAGAGCCTCTCTCCATTTGCGCATAACGTATTCTCCGGTGCTCTCTACAGGCCCTTCAAATAGAGAGGGAGTAAGAGGAAGCCTAAAGGCTTCACAAATGGAATTTGTTTTCGTTGTATGTACAGCGAAATTCCTATGCACCGGGGAAATGAAGCTCCTTAGGTCTGACAGAGAAGGGGGGAAAAATTGGATGGAATATGCCCAAGAGTATATCCTTCAATGCCTTTGGACCTTGGGAGTCCTAATAGAGGAAACCATGTTGATTGTACTTGCTGCCTTCTCCTCAGGTCTTCGGTGGGCTGCTCGAAAACTTAGGGCCGATTGCATGAACGCTGTTTTCCCGGTGTTTTTCGATTGTCATCGGTTAACCGATGTCTAAGGCCAAAAATGGATTGCATGAACGTTCTCTTCCTGTAACTATTGTCTAACCGACGTCCAACAGAAGCTGAAAAAGGTGTCGTTTCAGACAGTGTTTAAACAATGACTATCGATAATCAATGTCTAAAATAAACATCGATCATGCAATCGGCCCACAGTGGGTGGAGCTAACTCAACTCATGACAGAGATTAAGTAATTAAGGGAGAGGAAGAACAAGGGATGAAGGAGACCTGGGAGGAGAGTAGATCTCGGCGTGGACTTTGAGGTTCGGCAGGCAAGAGAGGAAGAAGGATTCCCAAGGCACGGGTGTATGTCTCCAATGCAATCCCCATCTCCCCGCCCATGTCATATGCTTCTCCTGTTAACCCTAACTCCAGTCCCGACTTCAACCCTGGTGTGCTCCATGACAACTTCACTGTTCCCACATGCCAATTTATATATTAAAGCCATTGGAGATATAAAACTGGAGGAAGGAGACCCTGCATTGAGTTGTCTTTTGACATGACTTCAAAACAAGAATACAGAGTAACTGGGGTATTAATGGAATGCAGATAAGGTGCATTTCAAATTGTCAACAAATTAACTTCTACACGGTATTTAAAAGAAAACTGTGCCAAATCATTTTCGCTAATAATAACAGTTCTTTTCATCAAATCGACGAATTTTTTTAAACACTGTATTTGAATAAAGAAGGTAATTCAGCTAATTTTAACAAACTTGACGCGTTGTATCACGTACTGTCAGGTCAAACTTGATATGCAAAAAGTTTGCCGTACAAGCCCGCTGATGCGTTTGCCTCACCCAGAGAAGCGAAGGAAAGTTGGTGCGTGCCTTACCAAAGAGGCAGAGGTCTTGTTCTCCCTTCGTCACCTATTTTGATGAAGAAATGTTTACCCAATTCGAAGGAAATTCATACCTGGTATTGACCAATCATTCCGTTATCAAATTAGGTGACGGAGGGATAACACCACGACCTCTGCTCCTTTGGCAGCTCCGTAAGGCACGCACGGACTTCGCTTCATTGACTGAAGCGAACGCGCTAGCGGGTTTGTACGGTACACTTACCTATCAAGTTCGAACTGACGTAGAACGTTATATAATGCATCAATTTTCTTAAAATATGTGCTTACCTTCGTTATTTTATTCACATGCAGTGTTTAAAAAATTGCGGCGATCTGATGAAAAGTACCGTCATTATTAGCGAAAATGATTCGGCAGTTTTTTTTTTAAACACGCTTAAACGTTATTATCCCAGCATGAACTGTTGTGTTTCCTATGCACCTGCATGAATGAAAAAAATGTCAACACAATCAGCAAAATGCAAGCAGCTTCCATCTGTGAAACACCATGAATGTATTATTTCTCGGGAAATAATACAAGTCTTAGTTGCAAATGTAGGGCCTTAGGAGCAATGGAACATACTCAGTTCTTGCTCAAGAGAATCACCATCCTGGCAGCAAGAATTGTTGATGGAAGAGAGCTTGGCCTTGAGGGTCTCAGCACGGGAAATGTATGCGGCAATCTTTTCACGAAGATGACTTGCTTTCAGTGGGTCTTCCTCACCTACTCGTTCATGCAACTCTTTTTTAAATTCTTTCTTGAATACAGTTCTCCTTTGATTAGATCTAATCTTACCTAATATTAAAACAGCCTCAAGACTGGCCTGAGAATGACACCATGTGGATTGCACATGTCAGGTGAGGTGAAATTCTAAATTTCTCTAAATGCAGGATTACAATAAAGATTTGCAAAATTTGGTTATAGATGATCATTCTTAGCTAGAAATATTCACATTTGTAATGTGAAATTCAAATGAACAGAGAAGTAAGCAAATGTAAAAGAAATGAGAATAGGAAATAAATGTATAAAATTAAATTAAATATTTGGTAAATTTATAATGGTGAATCTTCAGGAAGAAAACCAAGAAAGAAGATAGGTGTCACTTCGTTTTTCAACGTATCTTTACTCTACCCTCTGTTATCCTTTGCCAAAATGCAACTTTTGTCTGAGTCATCTGCAGCAGTACTGTAGATAAAATGATAATTTGTTCTTCAATCCCTACCATGCCCAACTATGCAATTTGGAATCATGAAAGCAACATCTTGACATTTCTATTATCCATTTTTAGCCAACCTACATTTTTTCATGTAGCTCATGTTTTCCTCGCAAAGGACACAATTTTTTTGCATGTTAATAGGAGCAAAAGGTGTTAGTATACAGTAGAATAAAATCAGAGGCCATCATCAGTAAATACATGAATTGAGAATTTGGGCTGAGCTAAAATTGCATTACCTCTTATAAATACTCTAATGATAAAAGGAGCAAGTTTTTTAAAATTCCAGCCTACACAGAAAACTTGCTGTACAAACAGTATGGCATTCTCTCGCCTTTAAGGAGATACTGATGACATTGTTTTAACCCTTTAACCACTAAGCCTGAGTATACTAGCTTTCAATCTTTGATCCCTAGGTGCAGACCTGAATATGCTCATGTGGGTTGAAAGTGGTATGTAGGTAGTGCCAAATTTTTTGGAAAATAAAAAGAATCCCATTAATGACCCTAGAAAGTCACAATGTTCTCAAGGGGCTAAAACAATGAAAAAGTTTTGCCATGAATTTCTCTTAATCATGCAAGACTTCATATGCAAGAAACTATTAGGTTTGCGTGATATCAATTGGAGATACATTAAAAAACACAGTGACACCTTCTTTATAGGGCTATTGCATATGCAATACAAGGACTTACAAGAGGACATGCTGGCTTGGCTCCAATAGGTTCAGAGATTCAGGTTGAGAAAGACTAAATCAACTGGTTTATATATAAGTCTGTACATGCTGAAGTGGACTAGAGAAGTAAACTACACACACCATCATAGTGTGTGGGGTTTAGGGCAATCATTGATACTGATAATAGCAAGCAGATCTTTCAATAGATCACGAATAGTGTTCATTAAATAATAATGTTCATATTGCACATGCTTTATATAGATGATGCCCTGAATTCTTGTGCATGCAGCATTTTCCTATTAGAGGGAGAGCTGATCATCACCTGTTAATATGACTGGGATCCTCAATTTTATTAGAGATGGGAAAGATGGAGAGCTGCAAATAAGCTGAGGAGAGTGGTAGAATAAGAATATATGAGTAGAGAATAAATTAGAATAGGAGTAGAGAAAAGAAAAGTGGGGCAATACGGAGTGTCCAACTGTGGAAAGAAAATCTCTAACCTTTTCCAAACAGAAATTAGATATTGATGTTCTTCTGAAAGTATGAAAACTTTTCAACACATACAATACCCCTCTATGTCAGCTTATCCCAAGGAATATAACAAGGACATATGGATGGAACTTAATTGGAGGAGGATAATGAATGTGTGCCTCATCCTTATTTATGCAGTTCCATCCCTTTCATTTCTTTTAGTTCTGAGGACACTTCTGCTGAAAATAACAACCTGGTGATGATGGTGGCACAATAGTAATGACTGTTGTGTGGGTCCTCAATCAGCAGTGACATAAAATTCCTGAAAAGATTCTTAATCCTTGAGACTGATGATGAGTCTGTCAATAGTGGCATCTGCTGCATTACCCAATGTCAGGTATTTCCCTTCAATCTTGATTGCATGGCTGATGCAGATGTGCTACAAAGCTGGAGAAATTCCACCATGGATAATTCAAATTAGTGATACAATCTCACTGCTCAAAGTAAGGTGCTTGTTCTAAGGCCTAATTCTCTGCTTCATCACTGGCCATACCATCTAAATTGGATTCAGGCCGACAGTGATATGACAGAAGATATAATGCTCAAATGCCATGGTACTGCACCAGGTCCTTCATAGTGAACTTCTATGGAATGTTTGCCTGCCTGATAGTAACTAAATGAGCATCCTTCCATGAAACAGGTGAAGAGACAGGGATGTCATTCTCCCACATAAGGATAATATGTTGGCCTTTCTTTTGTTTCAATTGGGTAAACAAACAAGCAACCTGGAATGATGGCTGGCATTATCAAGCATAACAACTGCCTAATGGTCTCTTGGAATCATCAGCAAGAGATGTTAGTCAAGCCATTTCTCAAACAGATATGTATTCATGTCCTCATGTCTTAGATAACTGACAGATTAAGATTTGATGGTTTTAGCAAAAAGAAGACAGCTAAGAAGGAATCTATCCTCACAGCCTGCAGGCAGAATAACAATACTCTTCCTCCTTGAAGATGATCAATTGAGGCAACAATGCAAGGTGCTGTCAGTGAAGCCACTAGTGACATGTTCATGAGTGTCATACCGAATTTCATCTAACCAGATGATACTGTACCCATCTGAATGAAATTGCCAGACTTTTCTCAAGCACTCATCTATCCAGGCAATCAATCACATTAATTCAGTGATGATGTTACTGATACAGTATTTGACAGCAGAACTCAGTTGGATGAGAAAGCACCAAAGATGTGAGACTTTGTATGAGGAGCAATCATCAGTTTCTGCCATCTTCTGCTGCAAATGGTGCAGCAGAATATCTGTAGAGGGGATATTCTTGCATCCATACATCTCATAAACTTTTCTGCAAATGAGGTCACACAGAAAGGAATCAAGCTTACTTAATAGTTTCAACTTTGTTCCTCTTTTCTGCAGTGTTTTGGGAATTCCACACTTAGTGATTTTTTAGGTGTTTCCATGAATCCTGAGAACTTCTGCAGTCTCTGTCACAGCCACACATTGACATTTCTTGCTGCAATACCATTAAGTATTTAGCATAGGAGTTTGCATTAGGTTTTTTGAAAACTACTCCAAGTGATGAGTGATTCTTGAGCACTCTGGGTCTGTACAGCTGACAACAGCAATGGTACTTCTTGGGATTGAGGTGATGGTGGAGATGACAAAGGTGCAGGTGATGATGGTTGTTGTGAATGTGCTCACACAGGACTCCAGAGCTGCCACAGATGAAGAATGAAGTGAGAAATTTCATTGAGAAGCTAAGTTGGTCACAGTGGAGATGGGTAATTGATTGGTCATAAAGTTCCCACATGCAATTCTCTACCATTTGTCAACATTATGAAGAGAATAATCCTAATTCATACAATTAACCTTAGAGCCTTTGTGTGACTGCCACATGCTTAAGAATTCAGAGCATTAACTATATCATAAAGGCCTACACTATGTACACAACTCCCTTCTCTGTTTCCTTTCCTATCATGCAGACTTTTAAAGGTTCCAAAACAACATACAGTGGAGGGCACTGAGAAGACAGGGGAGTCCCTTTGAGTAAGCCTGAAGGGCCTCAGGGTATCGACCATCAGCATCGGCTTCAACAGCATCAGTGAGCAGTGCCCTTCCTTTTTCTAGAGGATCTGATGTCACATCCACAAAAGGATGTCCAAAGAAGGCTTGGAAGTCCAGCCGGTCATCTGGATCCCGTCTCAAAAGTCCCTTCAGGAGATCTGTGCATTCTGGGCTCACATTCTTGTCATCAGGAATCTACAGAATGAATGAGGAACATTTCAGGCATCACCTATTGCAGATGCTCCTTCATCCATGAATACAATATGAATATTTGAGAAAACGCAAGGTAGCACCAAAAACCAAAACAGCATGCAGTGTGCTGTGCATGTAATGAGTACTAGTATTATCATTTTGAATTTTTTAAATTATTATTTATTATCATAACGACATTATTGATTTTTTCAAACAAAAGCAGATACATATGAATTTTTTTTTCTTCAAATCCAGTCAAGGGAGTCTATATGCTATTTGTGATAAACATGTTCATAAGGAATGATAGGTTTTATTAAATAAGAAAGGCACATTCCAGATATAAAATCTTTGAACTGATCATGGAGTGACCTTCTACCCCAAAGAAGCAATAGTCATATGACCTCACATCAGTCAGAGGCTGACCCCCTCCAATATTGACAAAAAATTTGCATGTGGTAATGTTATGCTTAAGTGGTTAATGTGGTTATGTGGCTTTTTCATGGTCAAAAGTTAGTGTGTAAATTTTTGGCTTCAGGCATGGAGTCATTTTGGCACAAAAATTTGTTAAATTTTGTGAAATTTAAAAAACGGGGCATCACTCTATGCTCATGTGGCACAAAAACTTTTTGACCAAAACAAACACAGCAAATGCCATTGTTCTTTAAAAAGGTTAGACTTTCAAAGTTATTTCATAAACTTTTTTTGTTCTGGTGATAATGAAAAAAAAGCTAAAAATTTGCCAATTTTTTGGCATATTCAGAAATTTGTGAAATGTTAACATTTTCATGAAAACGTATTATCATATATGTTTTCGAAATCAGCAGGAAAAAAACTAGCAATATACGTGCCATGTTTACACCCCAAATTTCACAAGAGCTGTGATGGCTTGAAATATGTAAAAATCACATATTTAGCAAAAAAGCACCATTTTCAATAGCATGGTGCTATTTTCTATGCAGCTCAAAAATTATAAAAAATTTCCCAGAATGTCTGCCATTTGCTTGAAAAAAGATGGGAGCAATTTCAAAGCTCACTTAGTTTTTTTTATGCATGCTGCACATTTTCATTCAGGCCATGCCTCACCATTTTTGCTTTTGCACCTTTGTTTCAAATGCCAAAAAAATACCATTGAATTCTGATTACCAATTCTTCAGTTTTTTTATTTATAGCTGTGCCCAAAGGAAAAACCAATGCATTCTACTGGCATGGTTGATACAATATTGGAGGAGGTCACCGCTTGGCCCCAGGCTGATATGAGATGGAATGACCCAATAGTACACTATGAATCATAACCCCATACAAGAAAGGAGTTGATTCATCTCTCTCAGTGCTCATGCATCTATGTGTGTGAATTTGGCATCATCATATGTCTCTCCCAACTTCCAGGAATTTTGAACTGTCAGCCAGTAAACTAATCCAATCTTACTCAATGTGACTGGGATCCACATTAATTTGGATTACCTTAAGAGCTAACAAGCACTCAAATCTTTTTTTTTTTTTGACACTTGATACTAGAAAACTAAAGCTTACGACAATCTTTGCTCGAGGGTCACGGATCTTCCTTAGGATTTCATCAAGGGTGGAAGAAGAGAATGGAGCTTTCCCAAACAAGCATTCATAAAGAATGACACCAACAGACCAGAGATCCACTCGGGCATCATATGACCTACCTGCAATGCACAGTAGCCAATAATTAAAAATGATTAAATGGAGCATGCATCCTCATCTATCTATGTCTCATGTGGGATTTTTTTTAGCACTAACAGTGAATACAAAAATGTTCGCTGTTAGATGTAGGTGAATACTTCCAAATGTCTGGCAGTGTGCATGGGTGGCATATATAGATTCTCCTCCACAGGATTAATATTTAGTAAGATCCTAACAGTATCAGTGAATACTGTTATGCACTACCTTTCTTCAAAGTGAGTTGAGTGAAGAAAGAATCTGAGTTGTCTATGTCCTTCAGAGATACAGTTAGATACAATATGTTACAAATAAATCTCAAAATACCAAACTTCAGGAAAGAGTCCTTGAAAGAGATCTGAACAGGTTTCAGTTGAAACCCACCTAACAAAATTTCAGGTGCCATATAGAGTGGAGATCCCTTGAGAGCAGTCTCCTTATCCTCTTCAGATAAGTGCTGGGCAAAACCAAAGTCTACAAGATACAAACATGTACTTAGATTTGACAAGCACAACAATTTGCCTATATTAAGACAAAGGAATAGATCCCACCAGCAAGTTTGAGAGTTTTCAAAGATGAGGAGAGTAGTATGTTCCCTGGCTTCAGGTCCAGATGACAAATGTCATTCTCTCTTAAATATTTGAGTGCCTTGGCCAGCTGATGAAGATATCGTCGACACACTTGTTCTGATAAACGCTTTTGCCTCTGAATCAGCTTTGAGAGATCTCCTCCACCACAGTATTCCATCACTATATAGATGTTCCTGAGAATTGATGCAAGCCCTCATCATTTCTCCAATCATCAAAACAATATATCCAAAATCATTCCTTCCTTAATAGACTCACTTTTGGTCCCATAGAAAATCCTCCATTTTGACAATATTTGGATGATTAAGCTTCTTGAGGAGCTGTATTTCACAAATCAGGTTCTCCACACCCAACTTGGAGAGGCGACTCCGGTCAATGCATTTGATGGCAGAATAAACCCCTTCATCACTTATCTTGTGATTGCTTCCATGTCCCTGACATATTTATTGCAAAAGTGTTCAACAATCCTATTTGGAAGGATTGGACTTAGCACATAGATAATGAGCACATAGAGATGATAATGATATTTTCAGTTCTTGCATGAAAATTATCTGATTAAAAAAAAATTAAGAGATGGGACCTGGGCCTTTCTCTGATATATTAACTTCTAGATACGAGGAGCATTCAAAAAGTTTTTTACCTGAGGCACTTTAAGTCATAATACGCCACTCATATTTTTTTCATAGAAAGAGAGATGTCTTTGATGATGAATGGAAAATTTTCAACTTATTTGTCTATGATGAAAAGCTTCTATGAATTTTTTTCAATGTGCTACCAAGGAGTCTGCTGAAGGGGTATTAAAATTGAAAAGAATGCTGCTATGAATTTTCTAACCTTAAAGGAGTCATTTTCCGTCTTGGATCTTGCAAAGTAGGGTCAATAAAACAGTATCCTCTCAGTCGACAAAAGATCTGCTGAGAAACCGACTCCTTCAAGGTTAGAAAATTCATCACAGCATTTGTTTCAGTTATAATATCCCTTCAGCATACCCTTCGGTAGCACATGGAAAAAAATTCATAGAAGCTTTCCATCATAGGCAAATAAGTTTAAAATTTTCCATTGATCATCAAAGACATCTCTCTTTCTATGAAAAAAATAAGAATGGCATATTACGACTTAAAGTGCCTCAGGTAAAAAACTTTTTGAATGCCCCTCATATGTAATGTATTCAGGATTTTCCATAATTATGCACTGATTCTGTAAAAAAAAAGTTTATTTCCTCAAATACAACCATCCAAGCCAAATAGGAAGGCAACATTGGGACGTAGCATACCTATTGCTTTTTTATGTGAATATAACCAGCCTAAATGCATCCATGCAAATGATGCTCAGTTTCAGGCATTGCAAAGATGTCTGAAGCATTGAAATGTTACACATTCTGAAGCATTTCAGGAATTGCCATTTGAATGGAGTTGGTGATGAGCTGCATGAGATTTGGCAAGTTTTGAGGTTTTGCTGCAGAGACATTGTTTTTCACAAAACCCCTCAAAAAAAGTTAAGTGGACTTAAGTTCAGTGACCAAACTGGCCATGGAATAGGTCCAGCACATCCAATCCAGTTGGATATTTGTATTTGTGTTTATGGAAATGAAAATTTTTCTTCATGATACATAATTACAATTACAGACCACATGGTACATCAAAGGCAATTATTTCATCTCCACATTCCTCTCCCCATAATCAAGTACAGCTATATATTTCCTTCTCCCTTTTTTGCCCAATTTCTTTCAGCTATCATCAATAGAGCACCTCCCTTGAGCAGCCTCTTTCCATCACTTTAACAATACACCTTCATGGAGTATGAGATAAAACTACAACCTCAACCTTCACCTTCCTGATGTTGGTTAAACTTTTGGGATGCCTTTGAAATTTCTAGCATGATTCTACTTTGCAGCTATCCCACAACCTGTGGTTGTAGCAAACATGGTGTTACCTATTTCTCTATATGCTAATGGAACCTTGGTCATTTTACTTAAGATGATACATGGCATTAAAGGTTTTGATGCTCGATTTGATGTTAGCAGCAGAACAAGAGGGAACCAACTTAAGTTGCGTAAACCCCCGGTGAGGTGTAAGTTGCAACAGAACTTCTCTACATTTTCGGTAGTGAATGCATGGAATGTGTTAAGTGATGATGTAATGGCTGCCCCTACCATGGCTAGCTTTAAAAAGAAGCTTGATGTCTTCATGGATAAAACAGAAAAAGGAAGAATCATAACTCTAAGTGACAAAGCAGTAGGAGGCTATGCTTAAAAAAAAAAATCTAATCTATGAGAGGGTAATCTTATGATTAGCTGAATGCTTGACCTTGACGCAAGATGTCATAATAGATGGAGACACCTCCTGACATCCAAATAAAACCTTGAAACTTGAAAGCTCAACAGATTCCAAACATGGATAGGTTAGCTTCTTTCCAATGCCAGCATCTAAAGCCATGTGGGCCTGTGCTTTCTAGAATCATGTCAAAACATCAGATATACAGATATGCATGATTTCCAAGTTCCAAATAAATTGACTTCTGATCCAGGATCTCTTAACAAAAATGGCATGAAAAGCATGTCACCATGGTCACTTTTCAATGCCATTTTTCAGGTCTATTCCACCATCCACCCCTTTGTTTTGGCAGAAACCATGACTAGCAGTCAGTACACAATTGGCTGGTTTTCCACATTAGATAGGCAATTCCTGGCAGATATATCTAGGAGTGGAACTCTTCCCCCATCACATAGGTTTGTCTACATTTGTTCACTTGTTTTGCTAGTTTCCCTCTTCCATCTATCCTATAAATATTAACAATTTATTGGAGCTGATATTTCCCAGGTCAGTTGAGATTGTTAAGGGAAACTAAAACCAAATCCAGGAATAATAGTAACTATGTCTGGCAGCACTGCAACCGATTCCCATGCATATTTCTCCAGAATTTGTATTCTGCTATTGTGCAGGAATATGACCATCAGGCGGATTGCCTTTCCTCTCTGCGAGCTTCCTTTGGTTACTTGTATTCTCTTCGAGGCATCCTCGAGAAGCGCGTCGATGTCATTATTTGCAGGTGCGTCGTGGGATGCGCTCGTGGAGGCAGATGCGGGGAGGTCCTTTCATGCATTGGCCGTGGGCCAGTTGCACTGCTTTCGCTTCGAAGTCGGACTTGCAAGAGTTTGACTTCTCGAAAAGCCTGACTTGGGAAAGTCTGGCTTCTGTCTCAATTGCATTGGGCCATCGTCAAAATCAGTGCTTCCTGCTAAAATGAGAGACAGGCTCCCAAAATCAGACTTTGCATGGGAGTCTGACTCGAGTCTGCAACCGGTCCGGCACTTTCGACAAACTTTTCCGTAACGTCGTTAAACGACCCAAATAAATGAGCTCCTGCCGTGGGCAAGCACCTCTTTATTCCTCTCTCTGCTGTTTAGATGTGACGAATTCCAGCCCATTGCGATATGTGCTTATTTGAAATTATGATTTTATTTCTTAATGAAATCAAAACCAAATCGATACGATAAACAAGTAAGACTCGACTACCGGAAGCTATTCATGTCTTAATCCTCTATATCCATGACCATGATTACTGTCTATCGTGAGCGACACCAGATCGAGGCATGAGGATCTCCTAGTTCCGTACTTGATCAGCAGATGCCAGTGATGTCTCAGGCCGTCATGGTGCCTCACGTCGGTCACGTGTTCCACATGCTCCCTCGTCCTGGTTTTATGGCCAAACTGTGCCTTGTGTCCCTGAGGACATGAGACCTTCCACTTCGAGGAATCGACCTTTACGGATCCAGGACTATATTTTCGGGGAGAAGTTGGGTTCTGGAACCTATGCTACTGTTTACAAGGCCCAGAAGCAGCGAGTGAGTTCTATGATACCCAGCAAACAAGACTTCCATCAGGTTTACGCTAAAATGTAAGGCTTGTTGATGGCCTAGACCTTGATCCAGACTAAAGAATAATTGACAGTAGTAGTTGAAGAGCCTCTAGTACTTACATCGTTAAATCTATTTTTTTTAAAGCAAGCCTATCTTTTGCTGCTAATGCAGGCAAAAGATAAATTTTCTTTAAAAAAGGGCTGATAAGATAAAAGGGCTGTAGTTAACCTCAATGCTGGTAGGCTAGCTCACAAGGGAGACTTGGGACATATGTAGCATAGGCCCTGGGAAGAGGGGAAAAAAAAGGTAAAGGAAAACTAAATCTATCTTGTTACCTGTATCTAGGTACTTCTTTTCAGATCATAGCCTTCCTGGTAACATATCTGATGTTGGACCCCAATATTATGGTTTTCTGTGAAAAGTAACCATTACTGTAACTAGGTACGTTTTCATGCTTAGTCCACTACCAAGGGGTAATAATATACCTAAAAGAAGCCACTTCCTCAATGTATCTGAATGAAGTAAATATGAAATGAAACCCATCATAGACGGCAATACAAGAGGAAAATTCTTGAAAACCTAAGTGGTTGAGCAGTGAGAGCACACATTTTTTCAATAGTCAGGAGAAATAAGCTTCCTGGATGAGAAGCAGGCGATTCTGGTCTTTTTGCCCTTGGGTACAGAATGCATGTCTGTGGAAATTTTGGTGTTTCTCATGGTTGTTGATGACCTGGCAAGGAAGACTCAAGGTCTGTAAGGTAGATACTTGGTGGCACCACTGTAAATCTAGGCATTCTAATCGTATTTCATGTGTGAACTTCTCTCCATGAATCAAGAGTTTTCCATATTTGCCTCCATATCTTCAGCTGCATATATATGCTGAATGCCATAATTAATAGGCAAGGCCTTTTATGTCTGTTTTATATCTAACATACTTCTTTTATATTGAAATTAATCTTAACCATGAAACCAACTTATGAAGTATATATATTATATA